CACCGCGACGCCGTCACCAATGCCTCGGATTTCCCGCCACTCTCCCGGGGCCGGTGCCTTCTCAGACGTCCGCGTTTTGCCCACTGCACAGTCGTGAGGCCGCCGCAGCAGAGCCGCTCTGCCGAGGCCGTGCACACCGCCGCGAAGCCGCCACCGGGGGATGCCGACGCCGACGCGGTGCACCCTCGCCACCCCCCCCCCCCCCCGCACGAACGCACACAAGCCCCACGTAGAGCCGGGAGGGGAGGTCACCCGGCCGATAGGTTTTTGTCCAGAAGTCCCTAGTGGGATCGAACTTCATGGTTTCCTGCGGCCGGGAAATTGGGCGATCTTCCCCCTGTAGCTGACATGCACTGCGGCGCCGCGACCTAATATTAAAGTTGCATGGTCACGGCAAGGGCCATCGAGCCACCGCGAGTGGAACCACACACGCACAAGCACGGGTCAGTGGACTGGTAGCGGGAGAACAGAGAGCGGACGTCGGTGAGATCACTGCGGCGACGTCACCCGAGCTGGGATCCGGGTATCGAAAGGGCGGGAAAATCCGAGCCTCTGATTGGACATGAGGCCAAGAGACCGAAACGGCGAAATTCCTTTGTTGTAGGTAGGATAAAGGGAGGGGGATTCAGGTAGCAAGGCAGTTCTTCTTCAAGATCATCGCGGTTCCAGGAGCAGCAGAGTCAGCCGTCCGAGACGTCCGTGAGACGTACTCCAGCACCACCAGGCTCGCCCCTCTACAGAGACAACTCGCCGCCTCGTCCCCTTACAGCGGTCAGCACAGCAGGTGGAAGTAAGTGCGAGGGAGAGAGGCGTAAGTTTAATCGTTTTAAATCCAGGGTAGAGAGCGGGGTGATCGGTAGGAGAAATTGAATCGAAGACCTCCGAGGGATAGACTAGCGTCCACTGACCCATACCATCACACGTAGATAAAATTGGTTACTCGAGGTAAATAAAATTCGCTAGTGGGGGGATAAAACTGTGTTGTGTGGTCTTTTGGGAGCGTGAAGTGGAGGGCAGAGTGTGCTGGGTGTCTACGTGCATGCGCGGCTGTTCACCTCGAGACGAAGTGTGCGGTGTTTACGTACCCGCACGATTGTTTACAGTAGCGCGTAGCGCTCGCATACCGGTGTGACGGCGTTGCGATCGCGCACCCGTGCAATTGTGTACAGTACTGTGCGGTGCGTACGGGCATACGTGGCGACTTTCGGTGGTGCCCAGTGCTCGCGTACCCGTGATATCGCTCACAATAGTGCTTAGCGATCGCGTACCTGGGTGGCTGTGTCGCGGTCACCCACCCGCACAATTGTCTAATCGCGGAGTAGCGAGTTAAAGCGCCGAGCGCGCGCATATTCGCGCGACTGTTTGAGCGGGGCCGTCCACTCAGAGCTGAGCGACCCTCCCCAATCAGCGGCGCGCGCACGGCAAACGTCCCGCCCGCCCATCCCTCGGCTCCAACCCCCTCGCGTGCGATTGGTGTACGGGGCTGGGCAGAGGGTTAGGGGGCGTGTTTGTTATTGTCGGCACACGTGGAGCGCGGGTGGGAGGGAAACACGCGCCACGCCTGTTTGTTTACGGGCGGGACGGAGATTTTACTGGCGAGCGCGCTTACAGGGGCACGCCGCCTCTGAACGGCAAAGCCCACCGCGGGCGTAAAAACAGACCGCTGCGTCAATGGAAACATGGTGACGCGGGCAGCCGCAAAGTTGGGGGCGCAAGGGGCCGAGGAATTGGGGGTCAGTAGCCCGAACCCCACAGAGCAGCCGGGGGGTAGTGGGACGAGTGTTACGGGGGAGTCGGAGAGCAATGGTCCCGACAATACGGTGATGGCGGGGGACGGTAGCCCCCACACAACACATTCTTTAGAGGCCATCTAGTCACCGCCACATGAATAAACAAAGTCCATAGATCCCTCATCCTCCACAAATCCGAATAGAGCTAAAAACCTCGCGAGTCCACACAACCGCCTGAAGCGGCACATTTGATTCACACGCCTCTTTAGATGCGCACCTCTTAAGCCCAAGAATGTAAAGGCGTTCTCGAGGGGGTTGAATGATCCCGTCCGTTTTCTCGCAAAGACAACGCAGTTGTGGCTGTTTTATATTGGGCCCATGACAGGGCTCAACAAATGCTTGTTCTGTTCTGTCCAGCATCGCTGTGTGCCTCACTTAAGTCATTGCCCGCCATTGATCCAAGCTATGTGGGGGCAAGACCAAAATATAAATATGAAATGCGTTTTATTAGTTTCGAATGAAAAGAACAGCATGAGGCCATTCATCATGTATTCCCAATTATCTGTCCTACATTAAAAATAGATTTTTTTTCTCGTGTTGCCAAGTGTCAAATTTCAGTCCCACAGTGAAAACAAAACAAAGAATTATCCGTTATAGCCTTAGCATACTTTTCGGGCAAGTCCTGTTCGCGAATAGCCCCAAGGAAGGCTGGGACAGCAAACGAGGCGATGGGGTTGGGTGAGCAAAGCGACCACACTCGGTCGCTTTTGTCTCCCCGGGGAGCGATGTTTTCACGCCGCACGTCGAATCCCTTCAAGTCATTTGGCGGTGACGCCTGCGTTGGCAGTGGTCGCGCAAGTAAAATACAATTAGTCACGTGGGTAGAAATAGAAGAAATCGCGACGTTTCGAACGCGGCACAAGGGCCCTTCTTCAGGTGAAAAATCGCGACAGCTGCGAAGTCTGCTGCAAGCAGCACGATGTCTGCTCCCCTTGAGAGTATGGATTCCCGCAGTCTCGAAAGCTTTAAATCAAGAGACAATACAATCAACATAGACACCGGGCACATTCGTCATTCATAGCGCATGACGTTACGTTTCCCATAATGCAGCGTATCATACGTGGTTTATTTTATTGACATATGTCGAGTGCTCTCTTTGGCAAGCATGAGCGATGTTGCACGTGATTCTGTTCATTCTTTTACCTCTTGGGCCAAGATAATCGAGCTGCGATTCACACAATGCTTCTGGTAATATCAATGAATGATTGCGATCTTACCAATAAGCAGGTGGTGCAGAGTTTTGAAAGCGCCCACTTACACGCCTCCGGCAATAGAATCAGCGTAGCGTCAAGCGCGCGTGACATCTTCAGAAGAAAAAGGTATGTAAAGGAGCAAATGAAAAAGCATGTAAATATGTGCATGTGTTTGTCACGTTACACCAAACAGATGAGCATTCGCTTAAGTAAATACGGCAGGCACCCCCTTGGTAGCGTGCAAAACATGGCATTGAACGCTGTTTTGCGATCAACTTAAATTACAAAAAGTCGTTCAAGCAAGGTAGACCCGTTGTTAGCTCTGACGTTTACTATTTACAAGACAGGTGCCCTCAGCATATCTGTCAAACTGATCACATCTGATAGCTAACATTGTCTTCGGTTTGCTTGAGCTTCACGTGAAAAGCGTAAACAACAGGACGCTCAAACGAATGTGTAGCGCTAATTATCCGAACCAGTCACCCGAACTGACAACATTTACGAGAGAGCACACGCCGACACCATATCGCTAAGGGTGCTGCGAATTTAACAAAACACATCCCAAGATGAAATGGCAGAAGTGGATTCAAGGACAACACATAAGAGAGGAGATAACATTATACAATTCAGCATGGTTTGGGACGCGCATTTAAACAAAACAACTGACACTTTTTTTATTTTACCAAGTCAGGCTCAATGAGCTATGTAGCTCTTTTTCAGAAGCGACCTGACTATCACGAATGATAGCTCAACGAAAGTGGCTTATCACGTGGCAATGTATAGCAGCCAAAAACTCCAAATGCATGTTTCTACGTGGGAAGGTAAAAACCGGAGGAACCGAAGGAAGATCCACGCGACCACGGGGAAAGAGACACGCACACTCCAACTACTATACAGGCGTCGTCAGGGTCGGGATCGGGATCGCACCCACGACCTCCTGCACACCAGGCGAGGGAGTTAACACTTCGCCACCGTGACGCCATGATAGCGCCCTATTAGTAAGATCCTGTAAAGACCAACCCGTGTGGATAGCTAGCTTATTGGCATATGAGCCACGTACAAGTTGTTTGGTGATATGCGGTTAAAATGTTTGTGCAAAGAGGCACAGTTTGTGACGTTTTGGTGGCAGGCTGAGAGGCTGTGTATGGCACATATTGGCCCGTCGATGTTTTTACATTATCTTGCGAGACAAAAGAGTGCGTCCAAATGTGCCCTATATATAGATGTTTTACTCACATTTCTCATGCCAAATGTCCACCCCCCGTCCTCACCCCGTGACGTTAAATGTTTTATATATAAAAGACCAAGCAATGTTCAAGAATAATTAATAATTTTGCCAAACCAACAGCAGCTGCATAAACACAACCAGTGCAATGTAAATGTATATAGCTTCATTTACGTCTTTCGTGTAACATTTTTTAAAGCACGGGGCTTTTTTTAATCCGAAACAATGCAGCTATGAGTATTTGACATTTCATATTATAGTTTGACATATATTCAAGTAAATGTGTTATCCAGCGTTGGTTCTCAAAATGCACCTAAAATACAAATGCATCTGTATACCGTGCATGCATAACGTGCCGTGAAGCAGAAAGTTAAACCATCTGGCTTAGAAACACAGCATAACTAATATGTGATCAAAGTATAAAATATATATGTAGATACATAGAAATTCATTTAAGAAGGGGAGTTAAAATTATTCGTGTTTGTAAATTAAATGCGCATTGCCTTTTTGAGGTTGATGTAATATATGACCAACTGCTAAAGATAAACGATGATATTAAAGAACAGTGATAGGTGAGAGTCCAAGTGTCAGTGATAAGTGAGAGTCCAAGTGTATGAAATCAAGAAGCTTTTGTTTGAGCTTTGTGTACCGAGTAACCCCAAATGTTAACTACCTCACCTGGTATGCAGGAGGTCGTGGGTTCGATCCCAACCCTGACGCCTGTATATTTGGAGTGTGCATGTTCTCTCTCTCTGTCTCTCTGTGATTGTGTGGGTCCTCCGGTTTTTCCCTCCACAATTTAGAAAGGTGCGTTCAGAGTATTTGGCTGCGAGAAATGTCCACGTGATACGCCACTTTGTCAAGCGATCGTTTGTGGCCAGGTCGCTTCTGAAAAAGGGCTACATAGTTCAGTGAGCCTGACCTGCGGTTGGAAAACAATAACAATACTGCAGGAATGTCAACAACAACAGATAACATTTGCTACGAAGCGGCAGTGAAATCACAAAGGCACTTGTGCAGTGCCACGTACACTTCGAGGCTCTGTGCAGTGTCGTGGGTGACCCCGGCAGCAGGGGTCATGGGACAGACCCAGGTGATATGGGATCGCTGACTGAGATGACGGTGGTGCATGCAACTCTCGGTTGATGGGTTTCTCATCTGTCTGTGCATACGCTGCGTGTTATTCCCATCGTTTTACACGTTTTCTCCAGGCTCTCAAGTTTCCCTCCTCCAGATGTGAAACGCCAAATCTGCCGACGTTAAAAACAAGAGTCGTGAGACCCCAGTAAGCCCTTCCCCCCCCCCCCCCCTCATGATTATTCATCATTATCATCAACACCAAAGCCATTATCTATCCACAGCTGGATGAAGGCCTCCTCCAGCTGTCGCCATCCCTCCCTGGTCTTGTGATAACGATTCTACTAGCTCCTGCACGTGAGCTAATTTCATCGCTCCATCTCTGTGGTGGGAATCCCCTCGAGCGCGTCCCCTCCCTTGGGGTGATTTTTTCATCGTTCGTCTCAGGTCATCCATCATCATCCCTGTGGGCGATGTGTCCTACCCAAGACCACTTACTTTTCTTAACACCCACTGCGATGTCTCTACCTTGTCTTTCTAATGCACGTGCTTCTTCATCTCTCCTGGTGCGATTTCAAGGATGTCATGGCAGGTGACATGCACCGAATACACGTTTTATGTTTACATAATTTGGCGTGTTGCTTTTAATGATCAAGTAGCGTTTTCCAAAAGTAACCCCATTTACTCTCACCCACCTATTTATTTCATCTTTTTAATTCGACTCAACCTTCAAAATACATTGAACCATTCAGATTTGCTGATGGCATGGTCATGTTGATGGACGGTCACGCTGTCAGTCCCACACGGGAGGTCAGAAACCTTGGTGTTTTTCTTTGACCAGTCATTATCCTTTGAGGCACATATATCTAAGGTGGTTAAAAATGTCCTTTTTCCACGTAAGAAATATTGCACAGAATGCATCGCTTCCTGTCACCTGCTGACTTGGAGAGACTGATCCATTCTTTTGTTTTATCCCGACTCGACTGCTGCAACACCTTACTGGTTGGGATTCTGAGCAAAGTACTGAGAAGACTCCAGCTTGTTCAGAATGCATCTGCTAGTGCTTAGACCTCGTACACCATTAACGTGAGCACATTACACCAATCCTCTTATCCCTTCATTGGCTACCGGTCAAATTCCGAGTGGATTTTAAGATACTGCTATTAACCTATACGGCTTTAAAAGGGATCACCCCACATTACTTGCAGGAACTAATACATTTATATATTCCATCAAGGTCCTCGACATCTTCTGATCTCCAACTGCTCAGCACTCCCAGGTCTAGGTTGCATTCTTTTGGTGATTGGGCTTTTGTTAGCGTGCCACCCAAGCCATTGAACGCCTTGCCACTTGAAATCAGAAAATCAGAGTCGGTAGATATATTTAAGTCTGCTTTGAAAACCCATCTCTTTAAAGTGATCGTTTAAAGTGATCTTTAGTTTGGTCGGTTGCCCCTGGCTCTGTTCGTGTTTCCTGCTTTTCATGCGTTGAGCATTGGGACCCTCTAAGATGGAATGCGTTTTATACATTTGAATTATTATACTGATACAAATTTAATAAAGAAATTATCGTGGAACTTAATAAAATATGCAAATATTGGCTCAGGATAAAGTATGAATAGAACAACATGCATGTGTATTTTCTATAAACAAATCAAGATATCTTGTGTAGTGAGATAACTGGAAAAAAACACATCAGAGTGTATATATACTATTAGGCAATTCATATTAGGCAAATTGTTAAAGGCCGGCCTAAATGATCATGAATACTCTATTATTAATACTAATTTATTATTCTGCCTTGAAAGCACAAGTCCAGATAGCGAGAGAAATAGAATTGTATTCCTAATTAATTTGTTAAAACTGGCACTTCATCAACATAAATTGTAAATGCACCATGCTGCTTCACGCAGATGCTGGTTTAGCTCCGAGTTGAGCCTGCCAAATTAAATGTTATGCACTTTTTTTAATGGATCTGAGACAAGATCGAAATTTTAACCACTTTATTGCCGGGAAGTGCAGAATATGCAGTGGATCATTAAAACTCTTGAATTTCACGGGAAGTCTATTTATTATTAAAAGGGGCATATTACTCATTAACTTTCAACACGCAGTATATATGGGAATATGGGAAAATTCCAGGAACATGTGCTCATTGTTCAAGCCATCAGTTCATCGTTATTTTCATAAACCGCTAATCCACGTACAATATTTATCAGAAGAAGCTGATGAAAGGATGTTATTGTTAGAGAAAACAAAATTATGTGTTCGCATGCAGACAAACTCTGCTTCACTTCACTTCCAACAACAAAGTCAACCACAAGGCATCTCAATTGCATTTAAAATCAATAAAAATGAAATGATAAAAACCTGAATATTCTGAAGGATCAGCAAATAAAGATTTAAGAACATAATTAGAAATGCATATGAATGGATTAATCAACATCATTAAATTACATTTTACGTACGGAATTCTCTAAGGGCTTTGTGATTTAAAATATCACCTTCGAGTCTGAAAATGTCATAATTGACTTATTTTGGGACTCCATTCACAGATGGCTAGGTGAAATCACATTGACATCAATACATATTATTTAACGTACGCCTTTCTTAGTGCAAAGTGCCCTTCTAAATTACGCTCAAATTGATGTTGGCAAATCGACCCTTTAATGGCGTATACTGCGCAATGATCACCACACTTGTCTATTTTTTCAAATGCTGTTTTTTTTTTCTTCTGTGGGGGGAATGAAGCTTGGACTATTGCCTGCCTACGATCTGGTCATCCACAGGCGCTGAAGCGTCGCTTCACGTTGTAGATGTTGTAGGTGCCGGGGTCTTCCTCGTCCTGCCACGTGCTCCGTCCAGAGTGAGGATGGACAGCGGCTGTGGCCGTGAACTGGGTGGAAGGCTTCCTGTGCGAGCCCCAGAGAATCGGCGGGAAGGGCGGCCCAGCCTGCGAGCGGTCCACAGCGGATCAATGACGGAAACACGCGGACAATGGAAATGCGCCATGAATGTGTGTGTGTGTATGTGCAGTGCTGTACTTCTTTCGCACCGTACGTAGCCGACCGCGCTCATTGTACGTACGGGGGGGGGGGGGGGGGGGGGGGAAGGACAATAAGATAAACACAAAGAAGCATTTCGAAAGAAATTAGTTTTCAATTTAGTATCGTAGTGTTTAGTGTAGTGTGTAGCTTTGTGTGTAGCGTAGCATGTAGTGTATAGTGTAGTGTGTGTTGAACTTATTTCGCACCGTACGTAGCCAACCATGCTTATCGGAGGTGCAGGGGGACGGACAATAAACTAAACACGAAAAGCAGTTCTAGACAAAAGTTTTCAATCTAGATTATTTAAAAGTCTATAGCCCCAGTAGCTTCCGAATATGGAAAGAGCGTTCTAGACGGCTGCAGAAGCGCATCTAAAGTGCGACCTTCACTCATCAATTACATTTCTACCGATAAAAGGAGTAAGTGTTTCCACGTTCAAGTGAGCGTTGTCTGGTGCTCATCTTCGTCAATGGCTCTGAACGCGTAGCTCAAATTCCAGGTTCCAATAACAGGGACCATTTTTTTTCATGTACAAGACAAGCCATGTTTGATTTTTTTTTACAAAATGCAACACGAATCACGTCGCAGTATTTAAATAGGGACAATGATAAGATAATGTCAAATATTTCTAAATGTATCGCTGCATATAGGATCATGAGTGGCTAAGTAAATAAAAAAAAGAAAAATATATTTTATTCTTTGTTTTTTTGGTAAAGTCACGTACATTAAATATTATTTCTTTTATTTTCTTTCTACGTGACATTTATTTTCCTTCTGCGTGACTTTACCGAAAGAACCAAAGAGTAATTCCTGAAGTCAGGAAACCTTCAAATCCAAAATAGATTTTATGATTACTATCATTCAAAATCACAGTGTCAAATTAAGAAGTGGCAGTAACTTGTGGAGGGCTTCATCCAGCAGTGGATTGATCGTTTGCCAGTGACAATGACTGTGATGATTCATAATACAGTTTTTTTTTGGGTTAGAGCACATAAATATAAATGTGTCAGTAATGCACTACCACCCGACACAGCCAATTAGTAAGATGTCACGTAAACAAAAGGTCCCAATTAGTTACTAGTTCAGCACACCGGTGTGTTGGAGAGTAAACAGACAATTTAAGCACCGTAACGTTTCGCTGGTGATTTCCAACCCGCTTCATCAGGCGATTTGCCAGAATTGTTAAGGAGTCTTCCTCTATCCGTTTCTCAAATAGAGTAACGGTGATGTCATTGCGACGATGATGATGATGATCACGACATATGGCTACATTGAGACCCATCTGGCGAGGCAGCAGTGCTTCTAAACGGGTGATCATGCTTCAAGGTTGATTCAGTTCATCGCCACCGCAGGCCGAGTCAAACGATCACCACCTGCTAAGAAACACCACTTGAAGGGAAATTAGTGCCGGTTGCTGTCCTATGGAGAGACAGTGGTGTTCACCAAAGAATCGTGGACTTTACACCACAGGATCTGGACTACCCGTGAATATGTGCATTGGCCAATATTCGTTTGAACATCTGACGCTTTGATTTTGATTGGTATAATAATAAAATCGCAATTTATACTGTATTGGTCGTGATTTGTGTTACGGCCGAAACGTCCTGTTTTCTTTTATCATGTTTTCTATCTACGTGACTTTACCGAAAGAACCAGAGCGTATTTATACTGTATTACTCTTATTATTATTATAGCCTATGAACGGTTAGATCAGGAATTGTATGGTAAAGTCACGCAGGCAAATTAATAATCATGTAACTGTGTACACACATCCTCAGCTATCAAAGGTCAGGTATCTGCACTCAGCTAAAGTGCTGCAGCCCACAGACAAAGGGCAATTGCATGGGTGGTGTCTGTCTGTGTTTCTCTGGGCACTGGGCCAGATATAACAATTTCCTCTTGATTTGAGGCTAGAAAAGGCACGCAGACTCTGGTCACCTTCCTTACTGTTCATTTGTTGGCACTCATTCCGCCAGTCATATAACACTCGGCCAGAACCATTTATATTTCATGAAACCAACATAGGTGTAATAAAAGCAGGTTCTAGGTCCACGCGAATAAACAAAACGAAAGTGCATCTGAAAGAATAAAAAAAAACCCAGCGCGTACTGTGCAATGCGGACTCTTTTCAAGGCGGTGTTTAATATGCATTAGGCGCACTGTTTGTGCGTCGAAGTCAATCGAACCCATGCGTTGCTTAAAATCTCGCAGTCTCATCGGCACTACCATCAGCTGATGTGTATCCAACCGCCATCACCATCCCTCATCGTCCCCTGTGATGTCCGGCGCACGTCACTCCGTAACCCCGGTGGTCTCCCCACCTCTTTATTTTGTATTTATCGATTTCATTTCAAGCGAGCATCTCTGCACACTTCCTTGCTTGTTCCATTTTCATTGTCAGTGCCCGTGTTTCTGTTACAGCGGGTAATAAAAGCACTGATTGAAAACTTTCTTCATTATGAGGTCCAGCTTTTGAAAAAAAAGCATGTTCGCCTCTTTGCGTCATCATTTTTATCCTGACCTAGCTTTAATAACTGCCCCAGTTATGCACATTGTGTATTACGTCTATCTCACAATAATTTGCAAACTCTCTGCTCATATTTATCGAGTCTAACTTTTATAGCCTTCTTTGCGATGTTTTAAAATATTTTTCCTGTAACTAACTTTCACTGTTTGTTAAATATGAAATAGCTAAAAAAATTATCCATGTAAGCATAAACTTGTATTTCTCCAATCTCATTTTCAGACAATATCTGATAATGTTCCTGTAAGTAACCTTGGAGAAAGCATAACTTCTTGCCTGATTTATCTGCTGATTTGTAGATTCTGAGCAATCTTAATATAGCAACTCTTCTTTGTAAATGGTTAGGATAATATCTATATATTATGAATGCATTGGTTGTGAGAGTTTGTATGACTGCTTTGGTTCCACTGAATCAAGTGCCTTATTTTCTATATATATAAAAGCCAGGTATAATGACATTCGATATTCATTTCCCTTTTCTACGATGACTGATATTGTGTATGTGGTCATGGTGGAAACGCCGTTGCTATACCCAGCTTTATATGTAGTTGGTTGCCCTCTAAAACATCCACGAGTTTGTTCGTTAAGATTTTGTGAACAATTGTGTGTGTGTGTGCCTATGCATACACAGATACAATAAATCCTGTTAGGCCTTGTAAAGCATATGGTCCAAGTTTAATGAGTGAGCGCCTACTGATATTATTATTACAAATGAGGGAATGATATGACCAGGCCGCCTTTGTCTCTCCAGTGCTAATGTTTTACACACCGCATGTGCACTCATGTAAATGCACAGTCTCCCTCTCTCGCTCTCTCTGTATACTGTGGTATGTCGCCGTGTTCATGCCTGTAATGTTGCAGCGGGGATTTCACTGCGAGGTAGAAGGATGTGTTTAATTAAGCCTCAGGGTGTATTTAAATGTGCTTGAATAAAATGTGTGAGCATTGCAGCTGCGAGGAAATCACAGGGGTCTTCTTACCCGTGTGCTGGATATGTGCGAGTGTGGTGGGACGTAGTCAGCCTGATAGATCGTTTTCAGTCGCCTGGGTAACCACACAAGCATACACCACGAACACACAGTCGATACAGACGATGGAATGTTATACATTGGCAATGGCCTGAATACATTTATATTGTATTTATCAGTCAATGTCCTAATGGTCATCCATTGATTAATTCTGGGATTGTAACGGTCGAGAAAAAAAACATTCATTTCCCGTAATTAATGGTTCCACTGTACCCGCAAAGCGACTTTGCTTCAGCATTTAGCACAAATGGCTTTCATTTACATGCACAATTGTGAAATTGCAACACGGCGGCATGTTGTTACTCGCCAAAAACTTGCGGCCTTTGCTTGCGACATTCGTGCAATTTGTGGACGGACGTGGCAACGTTCAACAAAAGCAGGGCGGAGGGGAAAACGATTGAGGGCACAACGCCACCACCCCCCGGACAAGATGCACAACGGAGTGTAGGGCCCTGCTCATTGCCGGATTAAGCGAGTGCGGGGCCTGTAGCATATGTTATAAAGGGGTCCTAAATAAAAAAAACCACGTAAATATTAAAACACTAATTTTTGTTTTACTTGTATATCAAAGTAATTGTATTTTTTCATTTCCTATATAGCCAGATAATACGACAAATCGCTAACCTTAGTTGAAGGCGGTATAGTACTGTAGTAATAGAGCAAGTGCAGAATCACTGAACCGGAATTGATAGCTTGAGATCATTTAACGCGGGGACCTTGAAAGTGCCGGGCCCGTAGCATTTGCTACTTTTGCAACTACGATAATACGGCATCGGTCCAACCGCCTAATGCAGCTTCTATTCATTCTTTGCTCTCTCTCTCTCGGCCTTGCCACCCATCGGGCACTGAACACGGTGCGAGACGCGCCTCGCCACGAATCTTCCCCAAATCGAACTTGCAGATGGCAAGATCTGTGACGCTACCAGCGGTGGGCGGGGCTTCGACCCGAGTGTGACGAACGTGAACATTGAGATTTCTTGAGGACCGCCGAAAGCGCCCCTGGGGGGAAGGGCCTCTAATTCGCGGAAGGAATCGTGTTCGGGCACACAATTCATAGTTCAGGGGTTTTTTTTTCTTCCCGTACGCTACTCGTTTAAAGAGGGCGATGCTTTAAACCAGTGGCTCTTAACCTGGGGTACACGCTGCACCCACTGGGTGGTGCGAGATGCCCTTTCTGTGGGTGCGAGACACGGCCACATTTTTTTTTAGAAGGCAAATAATCGAAAACACCAATTAAGCACAGCAACGTAAGTACAACTACTTTGATTCATCAAACCCTATGTGTTTATTAACATCATATATATAACATTTTACGATTGAGAACCACAGGGGTGCAAGGCTGCAGAGAAGATTAATAGCCACTGCTTTAAAATGCTGCACAGTTGAAAATAAAATTCGTTTGATGGTGTGCACAGGTGAGCCTCTTTGGGAATCGTCTCATTCTGTGTGTACGTATGTACTGATGATTAGCTATCGGCGCTAATCATTAATACTGCCCAGAAATGAGTCTGGGTTTACGGGCAGCACCTACTACTGATGGCTCTGGTTAAAAGATGAGTGGTGTAGCGACAGGGCGGGTGGCTCAGGGGGACAGTAACGCGCGGCTGAGTGCGGCACTGATGAGGAACTGGATTTAAACGAGGGAAGCGGGAGCTCCCACGATTAAACTGAATTCTCAAGTGTGTAGAATGTCCTGTGTGGCTCAGAGGGTTCAAGCTCTGAGCGGGCAATGCTGAGATGGGTTAGAATCCAGACTTAAGTCGCCTGCGATGAACTTGGGATAAAATTGAGGTGACTTTTTTACTGTTAAATCTTCTGTTAACACCCCAAGGAATGGTAACATGGCTTAAGAACTCGATATTAAAACGACGCACTCATTCAAAGCAATTCACTTTTCTATACAGTTATACAAAATATCAATGCAAGTTTAGGTTGGTGTGACTTGTTAAAGTATCTCATTGATAAATGTGTGACCTTCACCCTTATTGAAGTATAGAGATCAACTTTAAAAAAACATATTTAGTCTAAAATAATATAAACTCATCAACACATGGCAAGGTAGTTTATTGTCTATGAAATGGTACTTTTAATCAAACACACATGTATAATCTGTCTCTCCACAAAACAAATTAAGTATTCTTTCATCTTCTTGCCTATTTCTTTACAGTATTTATATTTTCCACACCGAATTTTGTGCGAGGTATTATTTAATTTTTGTGTTGAACCAGGACCCATCCATATCTTGAAGATCTTTTCCTTGCCTGTGACAACTGGCAGGTTTTTTTTTCAGCATTGCTTCAAGCAAGCGTGACTGCTGATGAAACACTGTGTGTCGTAACCAGTCCAGAGTTTTCTTGCATTGAAGCAATGCTGCTGAAAATGATGCACTCCTACCTAGTAGGCCTTGTGGTTGATGGGAAGTGTACAAAATCTGGCATTTGTTACGTGGAGAGACAGGTGTATGGATGAGACACATTGTCTGGTTATCTATACTGACACAAACATTCGGCAATTTTACGTACGTTAAGTAAGTGTCGTAGGCTGGATGATACCGTGGCAAAACTGCCCCACCGCCAGTCTTAGGTCTGTTGGTGTCCCTGCCAATATAACATTCATTGCCACATATTAGATTTTAAAAAAAACACATACATAGCTGTAACGGTGCGTTTGATTTTATGAGCCGCTCGACACGTTGCGTGTGGTGGGCTAAAGTGCGAATACTGCCAAGACGTCTGACGCAGCGTGAAAGAGTAGGCCAAATACCCTCTACAGGGGCTCCCTTTAGTGTATGTTGAACTTCTTTTGCACCGTACGTAGCCAACCGTGGCAACCGGAGGTGCGGGGACAGGACAACAAACTAAAACACAAAAAGCAGTTTATAAAAAAAATCGGTTTTCACTCTAGATTTAAAATATTGCTGGAGGCACATCTGCCATAATTGGTGTGAGCAAGCAACTGCAGTCACGCACCTTGACTCTAACTATTGCTCTTGTTCTGCTGTAGATAAACTACACAACGTATCGTCATGTTTATAACCTTCGTGATCAAATTATCACCCTACTTTGTACACCATGCAAATGAAGTACAGTACATACATTTTTGTAATCACATATTGAGGCCCATCATGATCATGCACTTGTAAAGGCTGGTCCAGATATGTTGTGACCCCCATTTAGTTATCTAAAACTTAATATATTATGATTTGAAAGTAAGGTTTATTGAAAACAGAAATAAATATGCAAGTGAGAAAAATGTTAGGGGTCAATTAATTGGGGGGGAGTGGGGGGTGTGCAGGGGGGGGGTCACAAGACATCTGGTCCACCCCGTACATTTAAACCTACGTACATTCACGTCCACAAACAGAGGCATTCGATCCCCAAATGGCCTAAACGGCAATTCTAGAACCAAAAGAACGGATCCAAGCCCGCACACCGCCCACCTTTCCTGTTCTGGCACGGGGAGGTTCTGCACGGTCAGTGGACGCGTCTGTGCCCCCCACGACCCACGAGGCTTGAGGAGTAGAATCTGTTCCAGCTGCGATCCCGTTGTTGTTCTCCAATCCTGTTCAGAAGAGTGGTCACAAACGCAGACCTCCTCCCCACCACCCCCCCCGCTCTCCTCTACCGAAGGTGTGAAAATGGGAGCGCAAATCCTTGCAGTTGGCCATGGGGAGGGTGGGGGTTGGGAAAGGGCAGGGTGCCTGCCTTGTAAACAGCTGAGACACAGCGTTATTCGGAGCTTTAGTCCATTGACAACACAAGCCTACGTGTTAAGCTCACAACACACAGGTTATGACAACACCCTGTTGCTTGCTCAGCCCCCCCCACCCGCCGTGTATCTGTTTACAGTCAAGCCAAGCGACCACAGCCTCTCCTCATATGATCTTTATGGCGGTAAACCCGGGGTTACCAAATAATACAAAATGGGCCGAGGCAATTAAATATGTTCTTTCTGGGACACTTTTTTTTTCCAGGGGTGTTACTTAACTCCGCGACCGGGGTACCAATCAAACCGAAATCAATGCCACTCCGCGATGTCGAAACGCAAAACATCAGCATCAAAAAAATCCGTTATGGAAAAATACAACTTTGATTAGTGCATCGTGAGTACAGCTCGTCGAGATGAGTCTATTGCCGCATCGCCGACCATTAACAGACTAAAAATAACTGCATCGCGAACATAATGCGAGAGCCGGGGTAGAATGGTCCCCCGGGGTGACTATGGTACTAGTGTAAGGTTCATATACACACTATGGTACTAGTGTAAGGTTCATATACACACTATGGTACTAGTGTAAGGTTCATATACACACTATGGTACTAGTGTAAGGTTCATATACACACTATGGTACTAGTGTAAGGTTCATATACACACTATGGTACTAGTGTAAGGTTCATATACACACTATGGTACTAGTGTAAGGTTCATATACACACTATGGTACTAGTGTAAGGTTCATATACACACTATGGTACTAGTGTAAGGTTCATATACACACTATGGTACTAGTGTAAGGTTCATATACACACTATGGTACTAGTGTAAGGTTCATATACACACTATGGTACTAGTGTAAGGTTCATATACACACTATGGTACTAGTGTAAGGTTCATATACACACTATGGTACTAGTGTAAGGTTCATATGCACACTATGGTACTAGTGTAAGGTTCATATACACACTATGGTACTAGTGTAAGGTTCATATACACACTATGGTACTAGTGTAAGGTTCATATGCACACTATGGTACTAGTGTAAGGTTCATATACACACTATGGTACTAGTGTAAGGTTCATATACACACTATGGTACTAGTGTAAGGTTCATATACACACTATGGTACTAGTGTAAGGTTCATATACACACTATGGTACTAGTGTAAGGTTCATATACACACTATGGTACTAGTGTAAGGTTCATATACACACTATGGTACTAGTGTAAGGTTCATATACACACTATGGTACTAGTGTAAGGTTCATATACACACTATGGTACTAGTGTAAGGTTCATATACACACTATGGTACTAGTGTAAGGTTCATATACACACTATGGTACCAGTGTAAGGTTCATATACACACTATGGTACTAGTGTAAGGTTCATATACACACTATGGTACTAGTGTAAGGTTCATATACACACTATGGTACTAGTGTAAGGTTCATATACACACTATGGTACTAGTGTAAGGTTCATATACACACTATGGTACTAGTGTAAGGTTCATATACACACTATGGCACTAGTGTAAGGTTCATATACACACTATGGTACTAGTGTAAGGTTCATATACACACTATGGTACCAGTGTAAGGTTCATATACACACTATGGTACTAGTGTAAGGTTCATATACACACTATGGTACTAGTGTAAGGTTCATATACACACTATGGCACTAGTGTAAGGTTCATATACACACTATGGTACTAGTGTAAGGTTCATATACACACTATGGTACTAGTGTAAGGTTCATATACACACTATGGTACTAGTGTAAGGTTCATATACACACTATGGTACCAGTGTAAGGTTCATATACACACTATGGTACTAGTGTAAGGTTCATATACACACTATGGTACTAGTGTAAGGTTCATATACACACTATGGTACTAGTGTAAGGTTCACATACACACTATGGTAGTAGTGTAAGGTTCATATACACACTATGGTACTAGTGTAAGGTTCATATACACACTATGGTACTAGTGTAAGGTTCACATACACACTATGGTAGTAGTGTAAGGTTCATATACACACTATGGTACTAGTGTAAGGTTCATATACACACTATGGTACTAGTGTAAGGTTCATATACACACTATGGTACTAGTGTAAGGTTCATATACACACTATGGTACTAGTGTAAGGTTCACATACACACTATGGAGTGTAAGGTTCATATACACACTATGGTACTAGTGTAAGGTTCATATACACACTATGGTACTAGTGTAAGGTTCATATACACACTATGGTACTAGTGTAAGGTTCATATACACACTATGGTACTAGTGTAAGGTTCATATACACACTATGGTACTAGTGTAAGGTTCATATACACACTATGGTACTAGTGTAAGGTTCATATACACACTATGGTACTAGTGTAAGGGTTCATATACACACTATGGTACTAGTGTAAGGTTCATATACACACTATGGTACTAGTGTAAGGTTCATATACACACTATGGTACTAGTGTAAGGTTCATATACACACTATGGTACTAGTGTAAGGTTCATATACACACTATGGTACTAGTGTAAGGTTCATATACACACTATGGTACTAGTGTAAGGTTCATATACACACTATGGTACTAGTGTAAGGTTCATATACACACTATGGTACTAGTGTAAGGTTCATATACACACTATGGTACTAGTGTAAGGTTCATATACACACTATGGTACTAGTGTAAGGTTCATATACACACTATGGTACTAGTGTAAGGTTCATATACACACTATGGTACTAGTGTAAGGTTCATATACACACTATGGTACTAGTGTAAGGTTCATATACACACTATGGTACTAGTGTAAGGTTCATATACACACTATGGTACTAGTGTAAGGTTCATATACACACTATGGTACTAGTGTAAGGTTCATATACACACTATGGTACTAGTGTAAGGTTCATATACACACTATGGTACTAGTGTAAGGTTCATATACACACTATGGTACTAGTGTAAGGTTCATATACACACTATGGTACTAGTGTAAGGTTCATATACACACTATGGTACTAGTGTAAGGTTCATATACACACTATGGTACTAGTGTAAGGTTCATATACACACTATGGTACTAGTGTAAGGTTCATATACACACTATGGTACTAGTGTAAGGTTCATATACACACTATGGTACTAGTGTAAGGTTCATATACACACTATGGTACTAGTGTAAGGTTCATATACACACTATGGTACTAGTGTAAGGTTCATATACACACTATGGTACTAGTGTAAGGTTCATATACACACTATGGTACTAGTGTAAGGTTCATATACACACTATGGTACTAGTGTAAGGTTCATATACACACTATGGTACTAGTGTAAGGTTCATATACACACTATGGTACTAGTGTAAGGTTCATATACACACTATGGTACTAGTGTAAGGTTCATATACACACTATGGTACTAGTGTAAGGTTCATATACACACTATGGTACTAGTGTAAGGTTCATATACACACTATGGTACTAGTGTAAGGTTCATATACACACTATGGTACTAGTGTAAGGTTCATATACACACTATGGTACTAGTGTAAGGTTCATATACACACTATGGTACTAGTGTAAGGTTCATATACACACTATGGTACTAGTGTAAGGTTCATATACACACTATGGTACTAGTGTAAGGTTCATATACACACTATGGTACTAGTGTAAGGTTCATATACACACTATGGTACTAGTGTAAGGTTCATATACACACTATGGTACTAGTGTAAGGTTCATATACACACTATGGTACTAGTGTAAGGTTCATATACACACTATGGTACTAGTGTAAGGTTCATATACACACTATGGTACTAGTGTAAGGTTCATATACACACTATGGTACTAGTGTAAGGTTCATATACACACTATGGTACTAGTGTAAGGTTCATATACACACTATGGTACTAGTGTAAGGTTCATATACACACTATGGTACTAGTGTAAGGTTCATATACACACTATGGTACTAGTGTAAGGTTCATATACACACTATGGTACTAGTGTAAGGTTCATATACACACTATGGTACTAGTGTAAGGTTCATATACACACTATGGTACTAGTGTAAGGTTCATATACACACTATGGTACTAGTGTAAGGTTCATATACACACTATGGTACTAGTGTAAGGTTCATATACACACTATGGTACTAGTGTAAGGTTCATATACACACTATGGTACTAGTGTAAGGTTCATATACACACTATGGTACTAGTGTAAGGTTCATATACACACTATGGTACTAGTGTAAGGTTCATATACACACTATGGTACTAGTGTAAGGTTCATATACACACTATGGTACTAGTGTAAGGTTCATATACACACTATGGTACTAGTGTAAGGTTCATATCACACACTATGGTACTAGTGTAAGGTTCATATACACACTATGGTACTAGTGTAAGGTTCATATACACACTATGGTACTAGTGTAAGGTTCATATACACACTATGGTACTAGTGTAAGGTTCATATACACACTATGGTACTAGTGTAAGGTTCATATACACACTATGGTACTAGTGTAAGGTTCATATACACACTATGGTACTAGTGTAAGGTTCATATACACACTATGTTACTAGTGTAAGGTTCATATACACACTATGGTACTAGTGTAAGGTTCATATACACACTATCGGTACTAGTGTAAGTTCATATACACACTATGGTACTAGTGTAAGGTTCATATACACACTATGGTACTAGTGTAAGGTTCATATACACACTATGGTACTAGTGTAAGGTTCATATACACACTATGGTACTAGTGTAAGGTTCATATACACACTATGGTACTAGTGTAAGGTTCATATACACACTATGGTACTAGTGTAAGGTTCATATACACACTATGGTACTAGTGTAAGGTTCATATACACACTATGGTACTAGTGTAAGGTTCATATACACACGGGGGGTGGGGGTGCAAGAGCTCGAGCCGGATGCACACTATGGACAGATGTGGATCATCCCGATCATGGGCAGAGTTTGCGGAGGAGGTGGATGGGAGAGGCAACGCCTCTCTCAAACTTGGACACCTTCATGATTCTTTGGTTCTTTCGGTAAAGTCACGTGGACAGAAGAAATAAAATAAATTGAATACAAATTTTAATAATAATAATAAAAATCAACAAAAACAAAATACCACGACGTTTCGATCGCTAAAATTTTAACAATAAAAACAATTAAAACTAAAAACCGCTTGTGTTGCGTTCGAAAAGTCGTGGTTTTTTTAATCACTTCTACGTGGCTTTACCCAAAGAACCAAAGAATATGAATTCGTGCAGTCACGAAAGTTTTAAAGTCAAAATTTGGACCCCCTTCATCAATTTATTTTCAGTAGTTTACGATTAAGATTCGTTTTAATTATTAGAATTGCACGCACCCGCGATTCCTCATGTGAGTGATAAAGCGAAACACCCCCACCACCGCTCAAATATAGAAGACAAACTATCGCCTATGATTCCGATATTAATTTTGTTTAGCTTTAAACGTGTCTAAATTTAGATTAACGTTCGCTGTCATGCAACCCTCACACCGTACCGCCCACACCGCCCTGAGTTTGTCAGCCTGCCCCACACTTAAAGAAAGGTCCCTCTAACAGGGCTATAAAAAGCCCAGGCACAGATCTCCATGGGCAGTGGGTGGCAGAGTGCCACTAATTCTCTCTTAAAATCCCTTGCTCACTCACAGAGGCGCGACGATAGCGAGATGTTATCTCCCTCGCCAAGTATACTGAAGGTCGTGGGTTTCTTGATCCCGACCCATGTATATTTGGAGTTGGCATGATCTCCCCGTGGTCGTGTGGATTTTTAGCGGGGTCCTCCGGTTTATTTCTCCCTCCACATTTTGAAACATGCCTTTAGAGCAGTGGTTCTTCATATTTACTGCAACCAGCAACCCTATGGTTCTCAATCGTAAAAAAATGTATGTTAATAAATACATAAGTTTGATCAAAACAAAGTAGTTGCAATCACGTGCCCGTGCTTAATTTGTCTTTTAGATGATTTATCTTCGAAAAAAATCTGGCCATGTCTCGCACTCCTAGAAAGGGCATCTCGAACCTCCAGGGGGTGCGTGCACCTCAGGTTAAGAACCACTGCTTCAGAGTATCTGGCTGCTATTAAATTGTACATCGTGATGCCACTTCGTTACGCTATCATTTGTAATATCCAGATCGCATCTGAAAAAAAGAGAGCTGTGTCGCTCAGTGGGCCCTTACCTGGTAAAATTAAATTTAAAAAAATAGTGAACTTTTAGTTTCGATCGATTTTCAAAGAAGCTTAAACGTGAATCATACAACGGGGGTTGTGGCGCGAACACACACTGAACACACGGACCTCGTGTGAGGAGTTGCCGAGGCGTCTGTAGGTAGAGAGGTGCATGCTGCGATTGCCCATGGAATGTGAGACGTCGTAGTCCTTGGGCTCGGCCTCACGCGCCTGGTGCCTGGCAAGGACAAGACGGAGTTGGGGAGGGGGGGCCCACAGGCAACGGTGGTCGTCATGCAGACGGTGAGAGAGGAAGGTGGTGAATTAGAGGGAGAGAGAGATTGGAAGAGGTTAAGTGCTGAAACGAAGAGAGGAAGAGCAAATGGAGCGATATTTAAATTTGTGGTGCTCGTAGTGTGTACATGGGTGGCCTCGTCGATATTATACACGCAAATATGTACGTATACATGTGTTGTGCTCAACAACGGCAGTTTCTGCTGATCCATCGAATTTTTCTTTTTGCTTACAGTATGTGAGATATGGCAGAACAATATTGAGAATGGAATACAGCAAATAACCAGCAGAGTATCGTGCTTATTGTTGTTAAATACGTCATCGTGGTATTACTTGCTTGATAGATATGAAATAAAGATCGCAGTTCGAAGTAAGCCCAAACGATAGATTTGGCCCCATTGGGCAAAGTGTAGCCATGTCTCTTCGAGTTTGAGCACATACCAGTTGGAGATGAGGATGGGTCTGCTATAAGCCATGTGGTCCGATTTCAGGTAGAGTGAGCCTTTCCGCTCCACGTACGATGGCACGGAAAACATTATTTGCTTCGAAAGATTGCTGGAACAAGGAAAGATCTCCTTTGAAATAAAAGTCGGCTCGTAAAGAGGGCCCTGTTTCAGCAGCAGTAAATCGTGCCTGATCTCGCGGCGTCAGCTCCACCGCTCTCTGTGCCGCTGTGTTTACATGACGACTACGGGCATCACCATGGTGCACTTTTAACAAACACTACGAATGCACTCAGTGAAGCCGGCGGTGAATACACGGCATCCACAAATACGCGCTTCTGAAAGGTGCAGAGAAAGTCAATAATGTTTATTGCATTTGTTCCTTGGCATTATTGCTTACCGATTTGGCAACGTAAAGGGTTATTCAACTGCTTTACTGAACGCGTAACGTCAAATAGATTAGCGTACTTTTTAAATGCATAGAATGTAAAATAAGATGGCACTTATTATTAATCCACCACGGAATGGTTTTGTCACGTCATTCAAGTCAACTATACTTCCCCAGTCTGATCAGTGAGTGCTGGTGAAGGTTTAGTGCACAGTGCAGTACGCTAACCTACACCGCTATAAACCTGATGATCCGAATTTGATATCTGACCATTGTTCATGTCAGTGGTGAGTGAAATCTGAACCATCCTGGGGCTTACTCCATCGTTTGCACTGACGACCCGCCTGGTAAAGTATGGTAAAATAACCTCCAAGAGTAACACGGTGGAGGTGAACTTTATCCATCAAGGGATTGACAAAGGACTGTACGTACTGTAATTATATTTGCATGTTGCACAAAATATAATAAAGTAGGTGTGTTGCTGGCTTAATTGTGAACACTACTGGACATGTGTGAAAGAGCATAATAGCTCATCGGATTACCCCAGTATAAATACAGATTCAGATTTGGACGTCACATGGTGCAAACATAATGTCGTGATTTAATTTAGTTGTTTTCTTTTATTTAAAATTTTATTTTACCTACGTGACTTTACCGAAAAGAAAAAAAAAGAGTATGAATCCTTGCAGTCACGAAAGCTTCAAATCTAGAATAATGTAGCAAGTTTTCAAATACAGCGTAGCGCAAATATCCAGTTGCGGACAGAAATGGGAACATCTATGCACAATCGCGTGGCTAATGCGAGATATATATTTAAAAAAAAAACTTCCCGACAGAGCGAATGACAACTTATTGCCACGCACATCTCTGGCCGCAGAACGGTTCGTCTCACAAGTGATGGCAGGTGACAATTTCACCAGAAAAAAAATCCATAGGCTGCATACAGCAGCAGCAGCAGATATTAATAGCAGCAGCAGCAGCAGCAACAGCAGCAGCAGCAGCGCAGTTCTCCCCAAAAACCTGACCCAATTTTGAGGGCTGTGCTTAGAAAAATGCCAATTGATGCGAGCAATATATGTACGGCTTCGCACTACCGTTGGCATTTCAAAGGCCGACCACTGGAGCAAAACGTGAGTTCCCAGGATATTGCTAATCGTTGTGGAAATAGCAAAAAATATCCGAGACGCGCGCGACAGGCTGAGCGGCACTCAGGCTGTTTTACGACGGCAGGTGCATGAAACATTGATTCAGCTCCTAACGATCTCGCTTCTTTGTCTCTTGCAAATGGCACTCGCGGAGCCAATGGAGCGGATCAAACGCTCCGAGGACAGCAGCGGTCTCACGCCTGTTCCGTGCCTGGGAAAAGTGTGGAACCGCTATGCGTGCGTGCGTGCGAGAGAGTGGGGAGCGATGGCGCAGTGGTTAGCGCACTGAGTTACGAATTCGGCGACCCGTCCACAAGCCAATAAGAGTGACAAATATTTGAACTGGTTCCTGGGCCATCCCACCTAGGCGACTCGTCCTTAGACGAGTACTACTGCACGTGGTTCTGATGTGTAAAAATCCACAAGAGGAGACAAGGGGCGGTCTGGCGTGGTGCTGGCCATCCACAAGCGTGTGTCCCATGTTGACGTTCATAGGTGCTCGCTTACGAATGTTGCCCTTACAGTCTCTGAATGCTGAACAGGGGCGGGGGCCTTTGTATTTGTGGGCGTGTGGGAGCACGAGTGTGTAATGGCTTACCATTTTAGAGCAAGCCATGAGAATAGAACACAGCACGGTGCCAATTTGACTGGAACAGTCTGCAGGCCATAGTGTGTGCTTTGCCATGTACTGACGCGCAACATAAAGACAAAGATGTCCCGATTAGCCTCAACAGACTGTTGGGGCAAGTGTTGTGCTGGGGCAAGTCCCGTTAGCGAGCACCTATGAAGGCTGGCATGGCGCACGGAGTGTGAGGCCAGCACCACACCCGGCCGCTGGTGATGTTTACACACCACACGAGGTACTCATTTGAGGCTGAGTCGACCTAGGGGAGGCCCAGTTCAAATAATTGTCACTGATGTTGGCCGTAAGAGGGATTTGAATTCGGGTTGCTAGGCTTGTAGCGCAGGGCGCTCACCACCACACAACCGCTCCGCACACTCCCAACATAAAACACACACCACTATTTGAACACAGAGGCCAATGAAACAGAGCATGGGATGTCCATTTGCATGACAGAAACCAATGTCAAAAGCATAAACGGAGATTGTGTTCTGTGCACAACACGCATTAAATACGATGGCAGCTCTACATCATCTCCCAGCATGACCAATGAAACAACAACCTAAAAATATATCTAATCCCGGTCCAAACACGATGCCTAATCATATGGGAATTATGCAGAGTCAACATCCTTTGTATGGATTCTCGTTTCGCATTTTCCATTCAGGAGCATTTTTTTTTTTTAAAAACGTCACCTTGCGCTAAGAGCGAATTGTTCAAATAAAGCACACCTCAAATATTAAATAGGAAATGTAATATCTAACAGCAGTAATACACTGGGGAAAATAGTATGTACCTAAATATTACATGGGAAACGGCACATCATTCATGGAATTGGGAGCTGAAAAACACGTTGAAACGTGTGGTTACAGTTCAGTTTAAATATATCGACAGGCGAATGCCTATAGGACAATACAATGTGTGTTGAATGGTGTGGTGGATTGAAGGTGCTGTCCACAGATGTTTACACACATGCTCATAAAATGCACAAAATGGCATTTATTCTATGTATTTATACCTACATCGTCGGTAGAATTTTAATAACCAAACGTTCTTCAAGTGTTTGATAATATACTACATCAGGATAGGAATAACTTATTCAGTAATATCCTGCTGTAGTGTGACCTGAGTGAGGATAACACATTTCTGAAAACCCTCATTTGTGACCTGATTGGATTAGGGTTGCCACCTCTGTTCTAGAAAGACAGATTTGCATTGACAGCTTCTACCGCAAAAAAAGGGTGGATGCTTCTAAATTAGTTCTAACTATTCTCATGACTGTTTTACTTTTTTTGCAACTCTTTGGTTTTATTCGGTCAAGTCACGTAGATAAAATAAAACAAAATAAAATAATTAAATCACGACGTTTCGGAGGCAACACAAGCTTCCGTCTTCAGGTGGAATAGTCACAGCAAAATATCTGTTTACACAGTCACAGCAAAAGATCAGTCACAGCAAAATATCTTTTGCTGTGACTGTTCCACCTGAAGACGGAAGCTTGTGTTGCCTTCGAAACGTCGTGATTTAATTATTTTCTTTTCTTTTATTTTGTTTTAATTTATCTACGTGACTTGACCGAATAAAACCAAAGAGTATGAATCCTTGCAGTCACGAGAGCTTCAAATCTAGAATTTTTTTGCAACGTTATTGTAACAATGAATCGGGCCGCGTGATTGCAACTTTTTGTCATGGAACTAATCTCAAGCAAGGCTGTCCCAAAAACAACCTTTAAAAACAAAAGCGACAAGCCCTCAAAAGTTCGAACAAAAGACCAGTAGCCATACATATATAAATAAACAAAAGAAGCACACGTGATATGTAGTTGTGCTAAACTAAACAACCAATGGGTTCTCCAGTTCATAATGTCATGCACATGACATTTGAAGAACGAACAAAAATGCCGTAATAACGGCGCCACATCACTTGGAGTGGCACATTAATTTCCTCGCTCAATTGGAATAGGTCCAGAGAAAAAGATGTTTGTTTTAAATAAAACACTGCTCTTGCGGTTACACGCAAAGGTGACCACGTGATCGCCTTTTGAGGGTGTGGTTTTCACGAGCAAAAACTAAAATTGCAAGCAAATTATGTTGGCGATTTCATTTCCACATTTTTTTTTTGGGATGGGCATCTCCAGATGGTCCAACAACCCCTTGAGATATCGAAGGAAGACGGAAGCCAGCTGCCAAATGGACATTTCAGTTGATTGTGACGGCTTCGTTTTGGCACGACATTGACCACCAAGTTTATTTTAATATAACATGCACGCTGTGAAAGTACCATAATCTAATTCGCGCTGTTTGCATGTAATGCGTGCATGCATTTATCCAATGCACAAATTCACGCATCAATACTCACGTGCAAATGTTTATGCTCATACTCAGTCCAACAAAATATATTTGATGCGAGATTCATACACAATTCCGCCAAACCAGAGATAAATAAAATGTTCCATCTTCTTTGGTTTATTCGGTAAAGTCACGTAGGATGAGAATAAAATAATAATAAATTAATAAAATAAAAGAACACAATAAAATTCTCACGACGTTTCGGCCACAACACAAATGGCCTTCATCAGGTGTAGGGACGAGGCTGTCTGGAGGACAGCGCTGGAGCGAGCACAGCCAAGCTCAGACCGTGACCTTTAAGCTGTGTGAGAAGAAACAGTGCCTTGACAAAGGAATTAGCATAAAAATTAGCATTTAATTGGCGGACTTAGCATGATGAACGGTGTAGAGGGGGTGAACATGTGCAGACAAGCGAGGGGGGGAGGGGTAGTTTACATATTAATGGTGTGAAAAGGGAATTTAAGTTGCTGCGAAAGTTTGGGATACCACTACTTGAAAAAATATACTGTACCATTGAAAATTAGTTTAATGTTTGGTTCGGATAATTTAGCATTGAAATAGCTGCGTGATTAGCTTGTGACTGGTCGCGGTCTGAGCTTGGCTGTGTTCGCTCCAGCGCTGTCCTCCAGACAGTCTCGTCCCTTCACCTGATGAAGGCCACTTGTGTTGTGGCCGAAACGTCGTGAGAATTTTATTGTGTTATTTTATTTTATTAATTTATTATTTTATTCTCATTCTACGTGACTTTACCGAAAGAACCAAAGAAGATGAATCCTTGCAGTCACGAAAGCATTACATCGAAGAATAAAATGTTGTTTTTTTAACAACCGTTAGTCATGCACAATCTCCAGAGAGGGAATAAATATTAGAAAGCACACATTTTTAGTGTAAACAGGGTAGAGGGCAAAGATCCTCCCTTTAGCCTTAACAGACTATTGGGCAAAGTGCAGCAGGTAAGCACCTATGAAGGCCGGCACGGCACACGAGGGTGTGGGCGGACCAGCTCCACGCTCGGCCGCCTTTGTCTCCCCAGTGACGATGTTTACACACCACACCAGGTATTCATTTTAGACCCGGCATCAGTTCCGATAAAAGTCACTGGTGTTGGCCGTGAGCGGGAATCGAACTCGGGTCGCCGGGTTCGTAGCGCAGCGCGCGGAACCGCTACACCACCCCTCCTCACAGGGAAGAGAAGCACACACACACACAGAGTGAGAGAGACCACCCCGTAGAACGAATGGCTCAGTCTGCGGTATCTCTCAGATGCGCCCTCTTACAGACAACGGCACAGGTGTGAGCCATCCATCTCGGAAAACGCCACCCTCCTCCACCCCCCTTATGGGAACGTTTCCCCTTATTTGCCTCGCTCCCCTCACTGGATCCTCTGCGCTGGGATTGC